CCCCCCCCCCCCCCCCCCCCCCCCCCCCGTCACCCCATCATTCCAGGCGAGCTACAAACCCTTCGTCTTGACGGTGATGATGGCTGCATCGTCGTCGTTTATGACGCCCATCGGCTACCAAACCAACACGATGGTGTGGGGTCCAGGGGGCTACGAGTTCAGCGATTTCATACGGCTCGGAACTCCTCTGTCCCTCATATACATGATCGTCGGCAGCTTTCTCATGCCCTGTCTGTTCCCGTTTTGACAAGGTTCAAGTGTGGCCAGCCCATGGCGGGGTACAATCTGCGTGGAAAGTGTGTGTACAGCGTGGGGTGGGCATCGTGTGTGTTGTTTTTGTGCCACTTGGGTGAGTTTTGTTTTGCGACTTTTTTGGCCTCTGCAATTCGTTTTCGCGTGAAAACCGTCTTTATCCATCTGCGTTTGTTCCTCGGTAGGGGCGTTGTGTGCTGATTGTTTCTTTTTACCTCCAAGAATTTGGAAGTAATCGAAAGCTTTGGAACTGACTAGGGCCCAGGAACTTTGGAACGGTACTGATGTAGTAGCTTTCAATTTCTTTCGGAAATTTCCAACTTTTTGCCATTGATACCTTGTTTGATACATACTGTAGCTTCGCAAAGGTTCCCCACGTTAACATTCCAATTGGAAAAATTGCCATGTACAAAACGCCTATGGCGTCGCTCGTAGAACGTGAGTGATTCGTGTGAATCCGATGGAAAGGATTAAGATCAATGGCCGTGGTGTGTCTCTGTTTTTAGCATCGACCATGCTAGCTGGCTGACCAAGGAAAGACGACAGTACCAGCCGTGCGTGCGTTTGTTTTAGGGTCTAAATGGGCGACAGAGTGTTTTGTGTGCTCTGTTCATTCTGTTTGGCCTGGCGTGGCCAGCGTGTATCGCGTGTTGTGGTTTGTAACGAGAGTGGCAAGTGTGGTGATGCAAAATAAGCAATATTTGTTCTGCTTTCGTACGGGCGCGGGGCAGAAGAGGTTGCGGTAGGGAGTCCTCCCTGTGTGGAGGTGTTCTTTAATTTGAATGGGAGCACTTCACACTTTTTTGTGGTTTTGTTGTTAATTGGGATAACACGACGCATGCATGCATGTGTTCAGGAACTTGATTAACCATATTGATAAGAAAACCCAACCAAACGTAGTCGCTGATTGATCACCCCACAGAGGAGATTGAAACTCGGGCATGGAGGGTGCGAGGCCGACATCTATCTGCAGACACTGGAGGATTTCGTCTTCAAGCCTGGTACTCATTTATTGGTTTATTGGTTGCTGGCACTTTCAGGTCCAAATGTCGTACTCGGCAGGATACGAATCTTGGATATCTTCGGGGGAGGTACGTAATTATAAAAAGTATGATGGGTGCGATGGACTTGACGCGCTAGGCCCTGCTTGCTTGCCCATGTCTCACTCTCCAATACAACAAGGATATTGAGTCACTCCTTTGTGTAGAAACGCTCTCGACAAGAACCCGCGAGCGTGACAACGCAGTACTTGATGCGCCGACACCCTAAACACGAAACTTTGAAGATTTTCTTAGGAAACCCTGGCATGCTGTCTTGCATACACATGCGTGTATTGCTGCGGGTGTTCCTTTCGAGCGAGGGCCGGCATTCTGTCGTCTGGTATCAGCGTACCACCAACACGTATTATTATCTACAAGCGGTCGGTGTGTTGGATGGGAATAGTCTGAGCGGAGGATCATCCGGTGTTGGGAGAGAAACACACCTACCTGTTGTAGAGTCAGTCCAAAGGGTCAGCCCTCAAAGCGCGCACTGAGCCACAACACTCCGATGATGGTTGTTTTCGTCAATTTGCGAATTTCTGTCACGTGGAAGAACTTATACAATAGGTTGGAAAGTGCATTCAAATGAGATACGGGGTGTGCACCATTGCTTGTGTACTGCACTACCGCACTTTACTTCTGCACTACTTTTGGTTCGTGTACCGCCGGACACCCGTGGATGCGACGGCCGGTTAGGTCACCATCGTGCAACTAGAATTACAACTTGAATCTAAACTAACTATACTGTAGACTTACATATATTGCTGCGCGAATAGACTACACGAACTCAGATTCATTCGCGCCCACGGTTGTTTGTTGTACACCATGGTTCTTCCGTGTAGTTTATCGTTTAGCCTATAGTTGATCGCCATCTATCTCCGTAACAGCTGGATGTTGTATGTAAGTTGACCACACACACGTACGTGTGTTCCTGGCGGTCAGCGCCGGTACACAGAAGAACTGCTGTCTGTGTGTCTTTGTTCTACAGCAGCAGTAAATAGTATTCGCCTACAGTAGCTGGCATCCTGGCACACGACCTCGGCCAGCAACTCGACAGTCAAAGGGCCTCCTTAGCAAGAGACAGAGGGGCTGACTACTTTGTGTGTTGTGACCTTGCGATATCGTGGGGGAGGTACATGTGCGTCGCTAATTGTCGGCGGGCGGGCGAATGAAAGTACGTGACTGAGAAGTGAAACTGGTGCCGCCTGTGGCCTGTCCGTAGGAGAGAAAAACAAGCACATCACATGGAACACATTTTTGATGGATTGCACTGAGTGTGATTGATCCGCTGCATATAATACCACGGAACGGTTTTTAATGTGAAGACAACAACAACAACAACAATACCACTCGCGCGACAATGGCTGTTGGCCTGAAGACAGACAGCGAGAATGAACAGCATCTCCGACATTGTACGCAACAGCTTTGCGAACGCACTTCTCCATGATGCACCATGCACCCTGCCATGGGCATTGCTGCTGCTACTAGTAGCTCCTATGCAACCGTGCAGGTCAAGTCGAATTGTTCTGAAGTGCATGAAGTTCTGATGTGGCATCAACCATTATGTAGAACCAAACCTACCTTGAATTCCGAGAACCAATAAAAGAAGCCGGCGAAGCCGGCCGGCAGGTGATCAATCAGTGATCGGTGACCCAGCGACATCCTGAGAGAGCCTGAGCGGGTGTCGCTAATATCAACTGCAAGGACCCTTTTCAAGGCATCTAATCGGGGGCATTCTCTGGTAAGTAGCCCTCGAGCATATTTTCCAGACAACCATTACTAACACCAAGGTGCGCGTGAGCGTACACGCACTACTCAGCAGAAGAGAAGGCAACGCTTCGGAACAGTTATTTTATTATTTTGCGCGCATCCGACGTGTGCGGACGTCATCTTTGATGCGCGTTCGATCAACCATTTTTGGGTTCGATTGCTGTATTGACCAGGCGAAGCGCCGGCGGGGCGAGACTCTGTAGCGGAGCCAGCGGCACACACACGCACTTCCTTCTCTATTTCGAATCCCACCATGGCGTCATCCCGGACGCTGCTGCTGCTACGCAAGGCGTTTCTTCTTGCCGCCATCGTGCTGGCCTGTTGCGTGACCGTCTCGGTTGTTGGGCCGCAAAATTCCACAACAACAACAGCATCTTCTATCGGGACATCGTTCAATCCTCCCGAAGATCATCGGGGTCATCAGCAGGGGCTATGGCCCGAGGGCGAAGGCCAGCGGCGTTCTCTCGTGACCGGTGGAGTCCCCGGAGAAGGGCTTCTCCTGGTTGTGGCCAACAGCGACGCGGACGCCATCGATGAGTTCGGCGACGAGGGCATCGAATTCCCCCCGCCTGAGGAACGTGGGTGGCACAAGAAACTGCTTCCCCCGAACAAGTGAGAGAGGCAGACAGAGGAAATAAAAGAAGCAGCTGGGCAGTAGTGAGCGTTGGTAAGGTGTGGCCTCACTCAAGTGTCCATCTCCCCGCGAAAGATATCGCAGCTCTGAAGATACTCTAGGAATTCAGTACAATAGGTATAGCCATCGTGGATTGTAATGGCTGAGGGAATTGGAAACCTGTATGTTTCACGTACTTCCCCACACCAAGCCGGCGATCTTGATGCTGGCTTTTCTATTCCGCACCCATCCCAGGTTTGGGAGCCGGAACAAAATCGATGTTCTTCTCAAAGACGGTCGGCTGGTGCACGTCACGTGACCACGTTACAATAATCCATGGTCAACTGACTCACGGACCCACTCATATCTGACACAGATTCTACACAGACTGCTAACAACTGAGCTATCTACTGTATGTACTTGCACGACGCCATGAACGGGGCGGGAAGCTGGACGCAATGAGCACCCGCTACGCGGTGTATTGGAGAGATACATCATGTCCCCCCCTCCAACAAACAACAACAACGCAAGTGTTTTCGATATGGAGACACCACCGCTGGCCTACACACAGCACGTGTGTGTACGTTGTCCGCCTCTTTATGGCGTATGATGAGTGGATCATGAATCAGGGGATCCATACGTCATCGAACGATCCACTGATCCCTTGACGATAGTGCCACGACCGACACCGCAAGTGACATTGGGTACAAACATGCTTATTTCATTCGTATTTCACCAAGTGTCACCTACATAGACTAGTCTTGCCCGCACGCCAGGGAATATCAACGCGCATGTGAGAAAAGTCTTGCCCGCAAGACAGGGAAAATCAACGCGCATGTGAGAAAATATTCCCTCTGCGCTGTTCTTTTGCTTGTTCCTGGACTGCCGCTACATAGTGCGGGAAGGGGCACACACCATAATGCAGCAGTGTGCATAGTAGTCGACAACCATGGTAGGTAGTCGCGCCCGTCTAACAAGCCATTGTACTGAGGACGAACCCAGAGGTGGTGATGCCAGTCAGAAACAAAACAACAACCGACCAAGTAGTAAATTATAGAGACTCGCATGGCGACGAAAAGTGCTACCACTGCATCTAATATTCCTCGACGGCAAGACATCGCGTGCCTGCCGACAGGTACAGAGTTGTTGTTGTTGTTGTTGTCTTCACATTAAAAACCGTTCCGATCTCTCTCAACCCAGTACCTTCATATGTCCGTACTGATCCTACACTTGACGCGGTCGATTCCCGTGGTCACAGGCTAACTTACCCTAATCTAATGAGGTACGCTCAAACAAACTGGCCCCGAGGGGTCCGCAAGTCAATAGAAATCAACGACAGATATATTCTGGAGTCCTCCGCTCCCTCTGCGCGATATGCGAGGTAACAACTGAGACTAGGAGTCAGCATCACGGGCCAGAGAGCAGGAGGTACACCCCCTTGGTTCAATCTTGGTGCTTCACACGCAAGCAGAGACAAGGCCATCTGACACAGAAAAAAAGACAAAAAAGAGCGACAAAGAGAAAAAGAGACAAACATAAGGAAACAGGAAGAAAAGAGACAAGAAAACGAAAAAGAAAACGAAGAAGAAGAAGAGCGAGGACAAAAAGAGACCAGGCCGAAAATAACAAGAAATAAGAGACAGAATAAGGCACACGGTGGAGAGACAGACAGACCACTAACGAACGGAGCGGTGCTTAGCCCTTTGACGAGAAAAGAAAGTTCTCGGAAACTTCCCGTATGCAACAGCAGTTTATAGCCCGAGGATCGACTGGTGGGTGGGTGGGGAGGACGGCGGTGCTTGCCCATTTGTCGAGAACCTAAGGTTCCAAAAGGTTCCCGGAATATTCTCGTTATTGTTCTAGGTTCTCGACAAATGGGCAAGCACTACTGAACGAACGAACAAGCAAACACGCAAACATGGCCACCAACCAGGTAGCAATTGATGAACTCTTCTTCTAAACCCGCCGTTCTATATACCGTGACAGTGACGTAAGGGCTCTCTGTTTCTGTTGTCTCTCTCTGCCGATGATTCATATGATGACGTACTACGTGTTGTGTACTGCTGTAGATCCAGACCGCTCTGACGTTGATTGCGTTGGACTACATGTAGTTACAAGCAAAGCTCAGCGTTTGATCTTGCGCGTACGACACATACATCCTCTCGAACGCAACATAGAGCTTTGTAGCCTTGCTTGCTCTAACGGCCGTGTCGACTGAAGAACATAGCAAGTTACTCAACAACGGAACTGCGCATCGCAAGGCTGCACTTCTGTGTGTGTAGACTATTTCTTTTTCCTAACAAGATGCCGTGCCGTGCACAACAGGCAACTTCCAACCATATATTCTCGCTCTGCGGCAAAATGTCGTTTTTATTGACTACAAAAAGCTGATTTTTGCACTGCAGTGAGAAGAGTACTCGGAAAAATATCATCAACAACGGAACAGACCCGAGGGTGTGACACTATACAGCATCATTGGACTCTAGCAACGCCCCGGTTGAGTAGCGTTGAACTGTATAGCGCCGGCGAAATTTCTGGGCACAAACTGAATCGCCAAGCAAGTCATTCTGTACTTTGAATAGCGCCGGTCCCTTCGATAGCGCCGGTCGATTCGCTGGGGACATACCGGCGTTGTTGAGGGCACACTACAGTACAGCAGTCTGTATTCGCATCAGGAGCTCCCAGCACTCTTGAAATATATTGTTCTTGACTCGCGAGGTAGGTAACAGGTAGGTCCCGAAAATGCAAATACAGGGCTTAGTCCGGGAGGAACACGTAGAGTACAGGAGTAGTAGCGGCACTCGCACCTAAAGAACGCGATGCTTTGGTTGAAGCTCCACATATAGATAGATATGTCATTTCAAAATAGTAGTGCGAACAGGAAAATAACAGACTACTGTACCTCTGCACCGGTCACCAAACAAAGCCTACTCAACGTGTGTGATCGCTCCCTCCTTTGTTGTTATCTCTGCTGGCCACCACATAGATATCCATTCTCTAGCCACCGTCAACCGTGCCAAAGATCAGCAGCACCACAATAGCGAAGCAGTAGACATTAACCTACCGTGAGTGACCCCAAGGTATCACCCATCACACACCCTGAACCGATTGTCAAAGCTTGAGTAACCCATGGCAGAAAACAATGGTGGGTGGTGATGACGAAAATGGCGGCGTTGGAACAGTCTTCTCGTGGATACATTTCCAGAAACAAGCGTGCCATCTGATTTTGGCGTCCTCTTCGTCGTGGAGTTGTCGAGGTTTGAAAATCGGTCCAGGAGGTGTCATGTCTTACGTCATTTATGATACATGGACTATGTAGTATCAAGGGAAGAGAGCGGTGCTGTTCCTCTGCCGCTCGCCTTGAGTTGGGGTGAAGGTGCTTTCGCGCCCCGTGAGAAGAGAACGGGCGTGAAAAATACAATGAGTGCGGGCCCAGAGCTAAGAAAAATGCCGCTACAGCAGCGGTAGGAAACAGATTCAATCCAAACGGAACAAAAGAAAATTGGGGGCAAGAAACACAGCCAGCCCCACCCCGCCAAGGATCCCACAGTAAACTCTTTCTATTATCGTGCACTCGACGATATGTAAATAGTGAAGAAACAATAGAAGAACTTGAGCCTTGACCCGAAACTGCGGTTTCTGGTATCCAGACCCATACGTATACTACAGCTGTAGAGGATGGAGATGGGGCGACTCGTGTGGGTATCCGGGGTGGGGATACGAGATATAGATGGAAGGGTGGGTCGAAAAACGACAAAATGCTGTTCGGTTCCGTGGAGGGGGGGGGGGGGTGTTCTCATGGTCGTGCATGCCGTAGTCGTTTGACCATTGACCTCGCATCCCTACAAAGCCGGGACGGAGCACGCCGGGTTCTCACCGGACCAGGCTCTCCACGGGGGGGGGGTTCCAACGAAGTATGCCAAACCAAGAGTCGCTTTGTTTGTCGGTTCTAGTGGTCTTGGTGAAAAATTACATCCTCCCCCCCCTCTCGGTGTTTGCCATCGGGATTGGGTTTTCGTCCCTTGGCAAACACGTTGTAAAAAAAACCAATTCACTTCGTGAACTCGGCAACCAGGTTATCCGTTTTTTTTTTTTTACCTCGCTTTTTTTTTTGGCGGTAACCATAATGGCGGTCGAGTAGATCATGTTGTGCGGGGTCGAGAAACCTCACTCCGCGCAAAGGGGGATGATCGTACCACGTTGTGTTAAAATGGTGAAGCTTCCTCGAGGCAGTTACACAGTGCTTACAACTGTCTCTGGAAGTGAAAGCACCAGAAAATAAATTAACTCATACGCAGCTGTCATCCGTACGCAAGGAAGTAAGCACAAGATGCCGAACACCCTTAGCAGGATGCAGCTCACCCTTCATGCGACTCGCCAAATACCTCACGGCGCTTCGCGCTTGGTGATGTGAGAGCCTGGTCCGGTGAGAACCCGGCGTGCTCCGTCCCGGCTTTGTAGGGATGCGAGGTCAATGGTCTAACGACTACGGCATGCACGACTATGAGTACACCTCCCCCCCCCCCGTAGGGATGCGAGGTCAATGGTCTAACGACAACGGCATGCACGACTATGAGTACACCCACCGCCCCCCCTGCCGCGGTTCTAGATCGTCAGGAAAGCCACCTACTTGCTGTAGCGAACAACGAAACCCAGAAAGACCCTTGCCACCCTATTTGATGAACGGACGTGAACCGTAACGCCGTGCCTACATCGACGCAGAGCAAGAAAACTCCTCATGATTGACGCCCCCCCCTCCCGGCAGGCTGCAAGACGAAACGGAGCAAATACACCGTAACATAATGTATGAGTGATCGCACATCCCCTCTACCAACGTCGCAACTCGAACCGAGGGGCGCGATCTGCAGAGACGTCGTCGAACAGCTTTTCCTATTTTGACTGCTTTTATCTGCCGCTTTTCTCACGGTCTTGTTCCTGGAGCAATCGAGCTTCGGCCTTGGGGGTGTGCGATCACTCACACTGTTGACGCTATCCTCCCACCCCTCGCCAGCATCCCACCCACGTCTTCGTAGCCACTCACCTCGCCCCCACCCTCACTCGTCAAAACGCCCGAATCAAAAACCCAGATGGGACGTGGCGACGGTGATCCTGGCGTCCTTCGGGCTCATGATCGCAGCGGCCGGCGGGATCGGCGGCGGGGGCATCCTCGTCCCCATCTTCATCCTCGTGCTGCGCTTCGGCCCCAAGTACGCGGTGCCGCTGTCCAACATCACCATATTCGGTGGCGCCATCACCAACACCTTCCTCAACATGAAGAAGAGGCACCCCCTCGCGGACCGGCCCTTGGTGGACTGGGACCTGATCCTCGTCATGGAGCCCCTCACGAGTGGGTTTGTGCCTTGGTGCCGTGTTTTGATTGTGTCGACGTTGAAGCTGGTTTGTTAGCGGGTGGGTGGGTGTGTGTCTAGGAGGATTTGTCTCTACGATTCGCCGAGCGTCGTTGAGAAGCTAGCTGACTCACGGGCCCCTCTTGACCGATTGAGTGTGATGAGAGGCAGACATCAGCAGGGTGGCTGCGGGCGACGTACTCGACCGCTGTACGATACAACCGGCTGGTGGCGGGATGTCCGAGTCCTTATGCCTTCTCTTTCGCGTGTGGAAAGTATTCAGTAGGAGAGGTGATGAATTCTATGTACGGGCTTTGCTTTTCTGTTTGACGTGCTGTATGCACACATGCGGTGTCACACGTCCAAACGCCGCCGCCCCCGCCCCCCTAGATCCTTGGAAAAACCAAAAGAAGTGTAATTTCACGTCTCGATGTTTAATGTTGCCCGGCACCCCCCTTCTCACAAAGGCGATTCGCAGCCGTTCCTCTCCTTTTCATGGTTAAAGAGCTCTAGTCTAGTTGCTTGTACGGCGTGCCATCAGTTACGGGGGAGAAACCTTAACGCGGCTCTCCACATCGGAGTTAGCCTGTCTACCCTTCAAACTGCTTCGCGTTCTTGCTTTCCTACAGGCCCCTGTTCAGATACCCCCCCGCACCCAACATGCTCTTTGTACCTGACAACCCCTCAACCCTCCCTCAACTTTCCCTTCTCCTCCTCCCTTTAACGTCCTACGATGAACTCACGCTTTTGTACGGCAGTTGGGGGTGCGCTAGTGGGATCTTTCATCCAGAAGGTAAGATGACAAACACATGCGTGTGCCGCGCATCAGGGACCTACCTACCCCGTCAGCAACGCCAAAGGGGTTTGTTTTCGTATGTCGGGATGCGCTCATTCTTTGGCCAATGAATCATTGCACCTCCCCCCTCCCTGCATACTTGGGGCTATCTAACGCAACAAATCAATGTCACCGCTGCCCTTGTGGGTGCACCGACGCCGAAAAATTTAGGTACTCCCAGAGGTTGTCCTGACGCTGAGCATGGTTCTGTTGCTGGTGGCCACCGCAGACCGCACGTTCCGCAAAGGCCTTAAGGCCTTCAAGAAGGAATCCAGCCTCCAGGTATGCTATTCGGCTTTTTCTCAGTGCTCGTTTGTCCTCTTGGTATCCTGTTTCGCCTCAGAAGAAGCGATGGAGAAAACGCGTGCGTGTGTTATTCTTGGTGCAATAGTTTGTCGTTTTTTTCTCTCTGGGAAGACACATTTGGTAGAAACAAATTGGAGGGGATACGTCGTTGTCGCTTGGTCAGCAAAGTCACCCAGCATCTCCGAGAGAGGACCAAACTTCAAGGTGCTCAGGTAGAACACGAGTGGGAGAACAAGTGGTTTGTGCTCGTCTGCACGTCCATAGCTCACGAGTGCTCACACAAAGCATCCGAGAGAGGGCTCAACACGACTCCCATCCTCAGAGCTGCAGGGCAGTAGAACAACCATCCTCTTCAGCAGAAGTAGCAACTGTAGCATCACCGGAGGACAGACCGCGTTTTTTTATTTCATGGAGGACCAGCATAGTTGTCAAGCGTAGGGATAGTCAACGGCTTCGCCACGGAGCACTTCTTAGAAATAGAGGAAGATGGCCGTTCAATGTACCCCGGTCCGCTATCTTGTGTTTTGTGTTGTGCATCGTAAGCATGTGTCCAGTGTATGCAAGAAACAACATCGAACGATCACACAACTGCGACAACAACTCGTGTGACGTCCGCGCAGCAGGCGAAGGAATTGGGGGGCACGGCAGACGCGAAGGTGTCGTCTGCCGCAGCGATCAGCAACGACAAGTCGCACACTACCCTCCTCGGCAACGGAACGAAGGTGCGCGGGCATCTCCCCAGTAGCGGTGGCCTCAAGGACTGCGAACTAAACATTGCGTGACAGGGTGTATCCCCTCTCCCCCCCTCCTCGCGCTTGGTGGCGTGCAGCTCAAGGCCTCATGATGTGCCCCTGGTAGGATGCAGCTCACGGCCTCGTGGGATTCGGCCCACACCCCACGGCGTTTCGCGCTTGATGCCATGCGAGCCTGGCCGACCAATGGCCCGCGGATCCCATCCCAGCTTTATAAAAGGGGTGCGAGGTTGTCAACGTAGTATAGGGATTACGGCATGGCACTACCCGCCTCCATTGATGTAGAGCAACCGCCCCTCTACAATACTCTGTTACTGAAGCGTTGCTTTACCGAACGCGACGCATGTCTTCCCGGTTCACGTACAACACGGCAGCGCATCATGGCTTGTTGGACACGTGTCGTGCGATCCAGCCATCAGCCGCGCGCGCAGCACCTCTACGGGCATTGGCAGCAATACACTTCAGTTTTTCTGTGCTCTCTTTTATTGTTAAATTGTCCAGTGGTCTTCCAAAGGGGATTTGCATTCAATGCAAAATTACTCGCTAACCCCCCTCCCGCACACAACCACGCACATATCCCTCCCCTTGCCAACCTCCTCTCCGCCCTCCTGCATCTTCCACGCACCGCCCGCTCGTTCACCCAGCAGTTTCTCATAGGCACATGTACCACGCCTCTCCTCAGATTTTCTTTCGCAGCTCCGGTGCACTTGACTTTCGAATTATCCCCATCGCTATTCAGACGTTGCTGCACGCTGATTGGTCGATATTTTTTTGCCAAAAACCATCTCATTCTCAGTTGTCCTCTTTCCTTCCGTGTGCCTGCAGTCCTACGGCGCGGCCAACGGTGTCGAAGACGGGAAGGGGACCTTCACCACGGCGGTGCTGGCGCCGTCCTCGTCCCCTGCTGCCATCGCCGCCGGCGATGTGGAAACCCCAGAGGAAGCGATGATGATCCCGACAACCGCCCCGGTGTCTCCGGCGGTAAGGGTGGCAGTGATCGATTGTACCATCTGGTACTGCTGCATATTTTCATATTTTCAACCAAAAGAATGTTCGCCTGGTGTCTCCGACGGTATGGATAGCAGTGATAGGTTGCACCATCTGGTACTGCTGCATATTTTCATATTTTCAAACAAAAGAATGTTCGCCTGGTGTCTCCGACGGATGGATAGCAGTGACAGGTTGTACCATCTGGTACTTGCATATTGCGAAATACTGTGCAAGAGATTAACTTGTTGTGTTATTAGAAAGAGAAATAACAAAAAGACTGATCAACGTGCGTTCGAGAGGTAGGTTCAGAACACTGAAAACAATGTGTGGGGGAGGCGCTGTACTGCTGCTCTGCTGTGTGGTTCGCCCGACGGGCGTGCTGTTTTCTGTTGATGTCCTGCATCCACTACTCATCGGTCATGCGGACGGTTCAGCTGTTCGGTGCACATGGAATCGATGACAGAAACTGTTGCAGCTTGTCGAGACGAAAAGAAACGCCCATCTTCTGCTCGTATACTTACCTTTTCTTTGAATTGGCAGCTACCCCCCCCCCCCCCCCCCTTGGGTTTTCCCTCCGGGTTTGGTTTTTCTCCCTTTGGAGCCATGAACAAACCCATTTCCTTTCTGGGCTCCGCCACCCGGGTTCCCCTTTTTTTTTTTCATTTTTTTTTTTTTTTCGGGAACCCCGAAAGGGGGGCTAATAAAATATTTTTTGCGGGGGGGAAAAACTTTCCTCCCCCCCAAAGGGAAAAATCCCCC